GTGTGTGTGTGTGTGTGATGCTGAAGAGAGAAAGGAAGGAGTCACCAGAAGGAACCAAGCGGAAAGATTGTACGAGTGAAAGCTATACGCCATTATGACTGCGATAGAGAGAGACACAGGCCATTAAACCACCAGTACACTACATCGGCTGCGGGCCCCTCACCACAACTTTCGGAGGCCGGAAACGCAACGAAGGTCGTTGACAAAATTAATTAACGGCGGCGCAGTCCCCAAATTTTAGGAGTAGGCGGCGAGTTTCTTTTCCGCAAGACTGCGGCCATGTACTAGCGGTTTACGACTACGAAAGAGATAGAGACACAGGTCCCTAAGACTGGCAAAGAGAGGGCCCTTGCACAACCCCTACCTTTCAGAGGCAAAGGCTAAGTTGTAAATACAACCTATACCACATTCTTCAGAGAATCCACCTTGGCAAAAAAAGGCTCAGAGGTAGTGGCGGTTTAAGAGGACAGATATTGGCCGTTAAACCACAAGTTCACACAAACCAAATTAAATAATGCTCTTACTGGTATACGCGGTAAGAGCGCTTAGTTTCAGTCCTGGGCCATTAGCAAAGCGCCAGGCCATTTTGCTAAGGTGCAGTTTCAGGATCGACAGGTGTGGAATGTAGCTTTGTCGACTTGGGCTTCTGTGAAATGGTGGTTACACCACCAGCACGTTTCCCAGCCATTTTGCAGAAACGCATCATGTGTGCAGACGCATCAGGTGGGATGTACAGGGGTCCAGTTTTGCCCAGATGCAAGACCCGATTTGCCTGCATGGATTTCGGGCAAAACAGCATCCGAGTACATCCCACCCGATGTGCCTGCATCCACAGCGCGTTCCCGCAAAATGGCTGGGAAACATACTGGTGGTTTAAACCACCAGTACCCCAGCCATATATTGACCACAAGAAAAAATAGAGCAGAATCGTTTCTACTCTAATGAATTTGGGTGCTCCTTTCCAGGCCCGTTCATCCGAGCGCACCTGGGCAGCGTATGCACCGCAACGTTCCGGGGCACTCATGGTTTAAACCACCACTACCTTTCACAAGCAACGTCAAACACCACAACAAATTATTTCGCAAATGCTGGAGGCCAGGGCGTGATGGACCAAAATGGCTGGCAACACAAAAGTCACGCAAAGCTTGGTGCACAGTCCTTTTCTGCCTCGGCAAAAAGAGGCTCAGTGGTAGGGCTGGTTTATTATGCTTGCCAAAAAAACAAAAAAAAAATGCCAAAGAGAAAGCCATAGGCCACCACGGGAACCCCAACTTCGGCAGTTGAAGGGAGGAAGCACCACTACGCGGGTTCAGACTCGGGGAGAGGACTGCGTAGGGGGACGGGTGAAGTGTTGGGGGATTTAGGTTGGGGAAGGTGGACTTGTGAGGGGATTCACGAATAGGAGAAGGGATGGGGGATTTAGGTTTGGGCATCCGGAATTGGATGAAGGATTGGGGATTCAGGGACGGTAATTCAGGACTACGAGCTCGGGATTGGTAGTTGAGGACTTGTAGTCCAGTTAACAGAATGCGAGTTTGGAAGGGGGGAAAAGTCTGAGAGAGAGAGAGAGAGAGAGAGAGAGAGAGAGAGAGAGAGAGAGAGAGAGAGAGAGAGAGAGCATTAACATGGAATGCATATCAGAGTGTACTCACGCTAGGAGTTTGCTGAGTGAATCTGACAGCAATCTAGTCCAAATTCATCCAGGAGAAGGACAGTGGGGAAACAGACGAAAGGGTGGGAAGACTTTTAGGGCATACTCATTCTAGGAATTCGCTGAGTGAATCTGGCCGCTGTTATGATCCTGGCCAATTTCAAAGTACACATTCATGAGAAAGTACAATGCCATCCAATTGCAAAAAGAAATGAATGAACTTGAGAGGAGAGAGGGAAAGAAGAAGAAGAAGAAAATGAAAGAAAGAAGAAGATGTACACCAGCATAGACCAATGATAATTCCCTCCTCCTCGCCAAGCTCTCCCCTCCTTTTCTCCTCCCCTCTTATTCAAACAATAAATGACAATAATAATGTTGAATGGCTGGACCAGAAGCAATGTCCGAATCCCTATTCTACTGCAGGCACAACATGAGGTCCACCATAGCCATGGCCACCCTTCTCCTTCCTCTTCATGTAGGCCGAGGCTATGGCGGACTACTAGGGCCTTGCCCTGCTGTGCAAAGGACAACTCAAAGCAGCTATGCACGCTGCTATTCAGGCCGCCATGCCTGACTCTGGCTTGAGGCCTTCTTGGTGCGGTGCAACCCCAACCGGGACCTTCCAGATGCAGCGCCTATCAAGGTGATGAAGATGGTGCCCACCATAGCCAGGTAAGTACCTCGCCACTCTCCTCCCTAGCCCCCTTCTTCCTCCTCCTACCGGTAGAGCGCCATCATAGCCACGGTGGAAGCTCCCGGCCTCCTTCCTCCTAGCGCTGCTCTGCCCAGCGCTCCTCCCTGCTCCAGCGCTCTGAAGGCTGGTGGTTGCTCAAGCAGCACGACGTCCAAACTTGCATACTGCAAATGAGGAACTACTCGCTCCTCCTGGAGATATAGCGACCTACTTGCCTCTTGGGCAGTGACTTCCAGGCCGCGAGGCCTCCAAGCAACCGGTACCTCCTCCCTTTCGGAGGGAAACATCATTGCAGGCTCTGATATCGTCAGTACAGGCCCTAGACTCAGGCTACTTGGACTGGTACCAGCCTATCTCTAGCCTACCGCTACTGGGCCTCTAGCAATGCCAACTTTTGTCTTCTTCTGCTCGGCCTCAAGTACCCGACACTTCTACCACTACTTGAGTGGTACCGGCCTACCTGCTACTTGAGTGTTTTTCCCGCTGCAGCCCTCAAATTACCGGCCCTACAAGGCCTCCCAAGCACGCAGGTACCCTTGTGCGTCACACACACACTCAGGCCGACAAGCACTCAGACAGGCACGCAGACCATCAAGCACGCACAGACGCACAGACTTACAAAACTCAGCACAATGCGGGAACTTCAGCAAGGCATCCATTCCAGCAGCAGAACCAGAAATCACCAGGGTTCTCAGTCTGTGTTTCGGCGGGTCATTACACTGCAATCTAGTGCAGATTCGTCCAGGAGAATTCTAGTGTGAGTACGCTCTAAAAAGGGAAAAGAAAAGGGAGAGGGCAAGAATAGGGAGTTCTCCTCCACGCTTTTTATTTGAACCTGCAACCCGTTCCTTGTCATTGTCGTCAAAAATAGGGAGTTCTCCTCGACACTTTTTCTTTCCAGGGCCTGTGCGGTTTTTTGCTGACATCTTTGTTTCTTCTTTACCCTGTTTTCTTCACGGTTTTCTTTTTTCCCCATTTTTTCTCTTCGTGCGAGGAAAGAGCCCTTGAAGGGCCCTTATCAGACATACAAGTGTTCGGGGCTGTGGCCCCTAGCAAGCCTGTGCCCGCCCTAAGTGAAGGCGGGCCTAAATATCCACGGAGGCCTGTTTTCAACATTTTTCCACGAGTGGGGATTAAGACAGTTGCAGCACGCCAGTTGGTTACAGAGCAACATGAGTCTCCAGGCTCTTTCCAGAAGAAACGGCTGCGCTGTACAGTTGAGCCCCAGGGCTCAGGCCGCCACATCATGCCATTGGCCTGGTCGTGGGCCAATGAGAGAGCAGCACTGTCGTCACACATGTTCTGGGAGTCAATGAGAATGCTGCGAACACTTGGACGCTGGGTGGCTGCCTGAACGTGCCTGACACGAGGCCCAAGCCAGTATCGGAAACTAGGCCTGGGCGCAGACACCTCGGGCCAGAAGCAAGCTACTGGGCCCCCCACACGCCTGGCCAGGCCAGCCAGCAGCAGGCACACTTTCCATAAAGGAAAGTGTGTGGCCCAGTGGGAGGGCATTCTGGGCTGTGCAGGCATTGCGTCCACGCTGCTGCATTGTCGTGCTAAGCTGCGCTATGCAGGCAGGCTGGGGCGCTCGTGGGTGCTAAGTGGTGAAGAGGGCACTGCGGTGACAGTGGGCGCACAGCGGACATAGCCAGGCAGAGCGTGCAGGTGCAGGTGTCGACGATGGTGGTTTTCGAGTAGGAGGTGCATGCAGAGGGGGAGTCGAGGTGTGATGAGGGGAGGATAGAGCACGTACCTGGTGTATGCTGACGGTCGGAATCGGCGATGACGCCCACGTACATTGGTCTTCAACTGCGATGTGATCTAGTTGTGAGAATGTAGATAGGGTAAATAGGCTGAGTTGAGAAGGCTGGGCGCCACGCGCCAGACATGGTATCTTGCATTTGTGCTCTCTTCTTGGTACACAAATTTCTTAGCTACTTCGTAATTTTCCAACTTGGTTCTCTGTCTATTGCTCCCGCTCATAATCCTTGCATTTGCTTCTTCTTCGCTTTTTTCTCATTTTGAAATGTTTTTTCCCCCCTTTTTCCCCTCACTGTTTCTTTTTTCCGTCTTTTTTAATTTTCTCTCATTCGCTTCAGTTTTTCCTTTTTTTCCCTCATTTTCTTCCCTTTTCCCCATTCTCCACGAAGGTCGATACATCAATGAACATTCACATGAGAATTCACACGTGAGAAGTCATTCACATGTGTGCCTTTTCCCTCGCATACATCAATGAACATTCACATGAGAGTTCACACGTGCGACGCCAAATCGAGATACAATCAACACTTGAAGATGTCGTCTCCAATATTATTATCAATATACACGAATGTTCATCTCCAGCGGCTCTGCCGTACACACACGCAACAGATCTCAACCAGATAGCGGCTATGGCTTCCCCTCTCTTCTCTCTCTCTCTCTGACTTGACTCGCTTTGCCTCACTCTCTCTACCCTGGATCATTACCCTGGATACACCCACTCAGGCAGCTTACACCTTGCTATGGCCGCCGTCCTCCTACTCTACGTCTAATCTAGCTATGGAGTATCTTACAGGTGCCCTCTCCTTCCTCAAACACACAAGCAGCAGCAGCGCTTCCGCATCTCACAACTGAACAAGTGATGAGCTGCTGCACTGTAGCAACTAAATGTAGGACTTGGCTTCACTGGGCTTGGCTTGCCTTCGCCTGCTTCAGACCAGTACCGGTCGGCCGCGCCCTGTCTGCTGCAAACATTTTGTCGGTCCTGTAGCTTCCGGACTTTCCTGGGACATGCTGCAAAAATTGGACTTGGGACTGTCGGACTGGACTGGACACTTCTGGACTTTTCTTGTCGGGAACCAGACGGACTCCTGCTGACCTACGAGGCTTCGCTACCGACACCTACCAAACTACGACACTTCGGCCTCTAGACCCTACGGCCTACCCTACGGGACAGCCCTGGTACTTGCAACATGTCGGGACCTTGGGACCGGGACTGGGTGTGTGCAGCGTGAATCCTTTAACTCCCGCCGGCCTAATTTTGAGGTCCTCCAAGAAAATCTCAACTTTATCTATCATACACATTTATTCCTCTTTGGGCCCTCTCATAGAAGGAGACACTGTGAGGGGTCGTGCGTACTAGTTCTTCCCTGGGAAGCCAGCAGTCTTCGCTGGGCTCTTGGTAGGCAAACCTGACCTTATATTGTCGTTGTGGCCTTCCTCTGCAACCTGTGCGGAAAGTATCTTCGATCACTATTCGGTCTACATCATAACCTCCGTCCATATCTGATAGAATCATGGATCGTTGGGAGGAAACAGGTCATTCGTAATACAGGGAAGCAACTTAGATGCGTGGAATACTGGGTACGTGTGCAGGTGGGGCGGAATCTCGATCGTATAGGACGGACCATCTGTCTCTCCTTTGACATCTAATACTTGCCATGGTCCCCTATATGTAGGTAACAATTTCTGCGAGATCCCTTCTTCAGGAACGAACTCCTTAAACTTAACCCATACCAAGTCACCTACTGCAAACTGTGATGGCTGTCAATGTTTGTTAGCTTGTTTTGCCATCTGGTGTTGAGCCTTAAGGATGTTCCTTTCGAACTGTTCTAGATCCTTCTCGTATTGAATGGCAAACTCCCTTTTGTCGGGCGGCAGTCTTCAAATCTGATATGGATTCAAACAATCGATCGGATGATGAGCTGGGCTTAATCCACCCATTCTCTATCAGTTCATCAAGCTGCTTGCGCAGCTCATCGAGTTCCTTGAGAGACATTCGATGAATGGGCCCCTTGGGAGTCTTGCTACTGGGCTCTATCTCTAGCATGTGCTTGATTTCCCTTCCCAATACTCCGGTTGAGGTCTCTCCCACTGCAGGTGGCGTTTGTTCCTCCTCCTTTTTGCTCTCACGAACCGGTTTAACATACGCTACGAAGACTTGGTCAACCAAATCGGCTTTGACCACGTGTCTAGCGAACGCAAGGGCACACATGCAACAAAAGGACAGACAGGACTCTACTCCAGATTCATGAAACAGCCGTATTTTCTTTATGCCACCTTCTAGGCTGGGCAGCCAGCACTCATGCTCGCCCATCTTCACATCAGCCCTAGCAGCCTCTCCCCAATCCATCCCCGACATTAAGTCGAAAGGGAGGTTATGCTCCACTAAGACGGTCAGGGAATGCAAAACTCTCTTCACCTTAGTTCCCCCCTCCAAACGGAAGTATGCCTTTACCACAAAAACGTACCCGCTCACAACCATTTCTCGATTCTCGGTCAGTTTGCTCGCTAACGGCTCGTCTAATCTCAAAACCTTCATGTCGAGGTGCATCTTCTGCAGTCCTCTTCAGCTACTGTAGCTATGCGTGGATCCGCTATCAACTAACGCGCCTACTCACTCTCTACTTGTTTCTACATCTGCTAATACTAGCTGCCCTCACACTTCTTCATTTCAGCCCAAGTTTGGCGACGAGTGATCAGCTCATCATCGATGCTTGCCACAGCAACCGAGAGAGACCCTAGCACAAGCGGTCTCCAGACAGCTAACTGGGTGGGGGCCTACATCAGTCTCTACCACAGGGGCCTTCATACAAGAGGGTACCTGTTCAACGCGCACTTTTGTATGTCTGCCTATGTCTGAAGACCCAGCATGAGCAATTGCAACTCCTACTGGCTGCTCCGTTTTGGGTAGCGGTAGTAAGGGCAAAAACAAACAATACGGTCGGGATTACCACATTTTAGGCACTGATTACCATTAAGCCTCTTCTGCCACAACGAATGATCGATGACCATCTCTTTCCAAGGCTGGCCATCTACAATCCCTGGAATTGCCAATCGTGGTACGAGCCCTCTACCTCTTCCTCTTGTAGAGGAGGAACCACGTCCACCTTGCGAGGAACTGTTACCCCTACCTCCCGTGTAATAGCTACCTTCTCTATTACTCCCGTAGGAGCCACGTCCTCGGCCTCCACCCCTTCCTCAGCCTCCTCTTCCTCCTTGTCCCCCTCCCGCGTGGGCTGCAGCAGCCGAATAGTCCCCTCGGCCATTTGGTTGCTCCTTGTGTCTTCCAGTCCGTAATCTATATCTTCATAAGCCAGTTCTTCGACGACTCCGCCTTCAAATGAGACCAGAAGACTAGCTTTCCCTTTTATACTACCGACTACTGTTCTCTTCTTCCAACGACCTCCTTTTTGCATGTCCTTCCAATAATGGCAATAGTTTGCCTCTTGGAGGAAGCCGACAAGGTCTACGGCTATCTTACTAAACTTCTCATATGGCATGCCCTCTTCCTTGGTTTGGGCATACAGTTGAGATCGATGAGGTTCATGAAGTGCTCGTGCAAAGTTCAAGATCTGTGTGGAAGTGAGACGATGATTGGGACACTGCAGGAGTTTGTCCATAGTGGCTTTTAGCGCCAGTTCGTTGAAAGAATCCAAGCCCTGGGCCGCCTGTGTGAATGTATGGAAAGCAGGCCCTGGGCTGGATACGGATACTAGGCCGAACACAGGCGCATGCAACCACTTCAGACCCAAGGCCTGTTCTCGTTCGTGCTGGGCCTCCAGCTACCGGGGCCTACTGGAAGCTTCCTGGGACTGGACGCAGGCACGCCACTTCGATATAGCAAAGGGTCTGCCTTCACATTCGGTATTCGGGTGCTGGCTGCATGTTGTGCAAGCGCTGCTGCACTAATTGCTGGTTGGCGCCTACGCGCTCACGGGCGAGCAGGGAAGAAGCAGGCACCTATAGCCGAGCTGCGTTGCTGTAAGGTGGGTGTGGCGCAAGGTGGTCCTTGGGTGCTAGTGGCATCTGTGTGTTGGGGAACAAGGTTGTGAGTGTGGCGAGAAACATACCTGGTGCTGGAAGCATGCGACATTGGTCGTTGTATGCTCGTACTTCGGGAAAGTTGTTGTCGTCAACTTTGGCATTGTATAGGCTAGATAGGATCTGCCACATGTAGTCTGGGCACCGAGCACAAGATAGGATATCAACTCTGGTTCTCGTTGATGATGATGGGACTATTTCAGCATTGTCAATTATGAACTCTTGGTGTGTTCTTATTTGGTGAATCTTGTGATGCAATTTTGTTGTTGGTTCGAGGTCACGACTATCTAGACTCATTTGTATGATGTTGTTTGATTGCTGAAGTTCGCTATTGCTCATCTTCCTTGCAATTTGGTATCAGAGTTGTGGTACGATTGCACTCATCTAGCGCTTGTCTTCTGCCTTATGCGGTACACACATGCGGTCTGCTTGGCGAGTTTGGCCGTAAGTGGTGTGTAGCGAGGAGGGCGGAGACGAGTGATAGGCGACCCAGGAGGTGAGGGGATCGCCAGGAAGGCTACGTGGGGGTAATGTGGTCTGGACAGTGTGATGAAAACTATCTAATGTGCGATTGATGTTGAGGTGGAACGGCGAGATAATGCTGGTTGTGCCGATGCAGTGACTGGTCATCGCAATCGCCATCAGGTCATCCGGTGAGATTATCTTTGTGGTTGGGGACAGCTATTTAAGGTACGTTGCTCTTAACCTTATCTAACCTCTTCGACACTTCTTACCGTGAGGTTGTGTGTTCCTTCTTGAAAGTCCTCTCATTGTGAGGTGTCGAGTGCGCTCAACCTTGAGAGTCGGCAATGTTCACGTGGAGCATCTGGGAGAAGACGGGCGGAGCTTTCTGAAGGGCCTTGGACGAAGCACTGGGTCACGGTCGCCATGCCAACCCACCGGAAGTAGAGTACGCATGCTTTGCTGCTTGTCCTTTGTTTGGCGTGCTGCGCTGTTAGATGGGTACTTAAGGGCAGGCCAGCCCTTAAGGGAGACGAGACCGGGCGTCTTTAAACAAGCAGCGGAAGGGGAACCATTGGCTGTGATCGTCGTCCGGCTGCGACGTAAAATAATTCCTGGAGTCACTTGGGGGCGAACGCCAAGTTGCCTCTGGATCAGCCAATGGTTGTAAGGCTCGCTGCACGCGAGGATAATCCAGTGCAAAGCTGGCCAGCTCAACAGATACTCGGGGCACAGGGGTGGGCCGAACACACACCTTTAGACACTTGGACAAAGTCCTCAATCTCCTGCAACAGCACAAGTTCAAGATCAACGGTGAGAAGTGTGAATTTGGCCGCACCCGTGTCTTGTACTTGGGTCATGAGATCTCCGCGGAAGGGTTGAAGCCCGATGACGCGAAGGTGGCCAGCATTCGTGATTGGCCACGTCCTCAGTCTGTGACTGAGATTAGATCTTTCTTAGGAATGACGGGCTACTATAGGACTTTCGTTAAGAACTGCAGCATAGTGGGCGCTCCTTTGACTGATCTGACCCGCCTTGACACCCCATGGGAGTTGACAGATGAGTGCGAGGCTGCTTTCAGACATTTGAAGCATGCGTTGATGCACTACGAGGTCTTGAAACTTCCTGATCCTGATAAGTCGTTTATAGTCACCACGGATGCCAGCCAATATGGCATTGGCGCCGTGCTCGCGCAGGAGGAGGGGCCAAAGTTGAGGCCTGTAGAGTACATGTCCAAGAAAATGTCGTCTCAGAAGTTGGCTAAGTCCACCTATGAGAAGGAACTCTATGCGGTTTACAAGGCGCTGACCCATTGGAGGCACTATCTCCTTGGGAGGTTCTTCATCCTCGGGATTGATCATCAAACCCTAAGATGGATGAGAACCCAGTCGGTACTCTCTGACGCTCTCAAGTGTTCGATCGAAGTCATTGAGCAGTATGACTTTGACCCTCAGTATCTGAAAGGGGAGTACAACAAGGTTGTTGATGCCTTGTCGCGTAGACCTGATTTCTCAGGTGTGCTGATTACCGAGTTCGATCTAACGGACAATGTTACTCAGTCCTTGGTGGAAGCCTATCGCGAGGACCAGTTCATGTCTGAGATCATACGCAGACTTCAGGCGAAGGACAAGAAGACCTCTGCCGAGTTTGAGTTGGTCAATGGCTTGCTGTTCCTTGAGAAGGCAGGGAATAAACGATTGTGTGTCCCTAATAGCGAGTCTTTGCGTAGTTTATTTTTCGGTGAGTGTCAAGATGCCACCGGCCAATTTGGGTACAAGAAGACCGCAGCTAATCTGCTGCACCGGTTTTGGTGGCCCACGATGATGCGAGATGCCCAGCTGTACATGGAGACTTGTCAAGTCTGTCAGAGGGACAAGCCACGTACGCAGGCTCCTCTTGGGCTTTTAAAGCCCCTTCCGATTCCGGAACGGCCTGGTGAGAGTGTCCATGGACTTCATGGATACTCTGGTCACCAGCAAGAGTGGGATGCGACACATCTTCATCGTCATGGATAGATTTAGTAAGTATGCTAGGTTAGTAGCAATGCCGGAAACAATAAAGACAGAGTATGTGATCCAAATGATCAAGGAGAACTGGGTTAGAGACTTTGGTTTACCGAAGTTTATTATCAATGACAGGGATGTCCGGTTTACAAGTGAATTGTGGAAGGCTGCTGCTGCAGAGCAGGGAATCCAGTTGCAAATGACTTCTGAGAACCACCCAGAGGCCAACAGCCAGGCCGAGCAATTGAATCGTGTTGTACAACACCTGTTGAGGCAGTACATCAAGCCGAACTAGGTGAACTGGGATGAGAAGCTTGCTCTCATCGCCAGCCTGTACAACAATGTTGTACACAGCACCACTGGGGTGAGCCCGAACAGTTTACTATTGACTTTCAAGTTCCTGAGAATCAATCAACTGCTGCACCGGGTACTTTAGAGTTCGCCTACATATATGAACAGAAAATGCAGCAGGCGGTAGAGCAGATGCAGAAGGCACAGGCAGCATTGATAGAGTCTGAGAACAGACACCGCCGACCTTCTACGTTTCAGGTTGGGGACAAAGTTTGGGTAAAGTCCTCAGAACTGGGACAGGAGTACGGGATTTCCCGTAAACTCATGCCACAGTACTTTGGACCATAGGAAGTCTTAGATATTGTCCGGACTGATCCAGATGGGCCATCTTATGTAATCCGAATCCCAGGTCATCTTCGTACTTACCCCGTCTTTCACGCCTCCAAACTTGCACCTTTCAAAGAAACTGACCAGTTTCCATCTCGCCGCTCAATGATGCCCCCAACCATGGACGGAGAGGTGGACATCGATGATATCGTGGACCACAGGGAGCTGCCAACGCCGAGACCAACAGGTAGAGGACGTCCTCCGAAACCGAAGCTGCAGTACCGCGTTCGGTTCCGACATCACACTGATCCGAAGTAGGACCGCTGGTTCACAAGGGAGGAACTCATGCAGACCACTCCGCAGGTTGTAGCCCACTACGAGAAATCTCTGCAGAAGGGAAAGCGCCCTATGGTTGAAGACTGAGCTTCTCAGAGGACTGTTGAAGCTAAGGAGGGAATGTGAGGCTATTGCCTCTATGGGCCCCATTTGGCCCCCTCTATCGAAGCCTGACGGCCACCCTAAGTGAAGGCAGGCTCGACGAGGCCCTCAGGGCCTTATTTCGGCCACCGCGCTACTAAGGAAATTCAGGCAGTTGTCCAGCGCCAGTTGGTTGAAAGAATCCAGGCCCTGGGCCGCCTGTGTGAATGTATGGAATGCAGACCCTGGGCTGGATACGGATACTGGGCCGAACACAGGCCAAAGGCAAGTGGGCGCATGCAACCACTTCAGACCCAAGGCCTGTTCTCGTTCGTGCTGGGCCTCCAGCTACTGGGGCCTACTGGAAACTTCCTGGGACTGGACGCAGGCACGCCACTTCGATATAGCAAAGGGCCTGCCTCCGCATTCGGTATTCGGGTGCTGGCTGCATGCTGCGCAAGCGCTGCTGCTAATTGCTGGCTGGCGCCTACGCGCTCACGGGCGAGCAGGGAAGGAGCAGGCAGCCATAGTCGAGTTGCGCTGCTGTAAGCTGGGTGTGGCGCAGGGTGGTCCTTGGGTGCTAGTGGCATCTGTGTGTTGGGGAACAAGGTTGTGAGTGTGGCGAGAAACATACCTGGTGCTGGAAGCGTGCGACATTGGTCGTTGTATGCTCGTACTTCGGGAAAGCTGTTGTCGTCAACTTCGGCATTGTAGTATAGGCTAGATAGGATCTGCCACATGTAGTCTGGGCGCCGAGCGCCAGATAGGATATCAACTCTGGTTCTTCGTTGATGATGATGATGGGACTATTTCAGCATTGTCAATTATGAACTCTTGGTGTGTTCTTATTTGGTGAATCTCGTGATGCAATTCTGTTGTTGGTTCAAGGTCACGACTATCTGGACTCATATGTATGATGTTGTTTGATTGCTGAAGTTCGCTATTGCTCATCTTCCTTGCAGAAATATGTTCTGCGTAGATAATTTCTTGCGTAGAAATAGGAGGTTTTCATGAGGTGGTTCCTACCATAGAAGTGGGAAAAATATATATAGACTAGATGACCGGTTGCGGCTTCGCCCTCAAAAACAGAAAAAGGAAAAAACACAAAAGAAAAAACACATGAGGAACTGCCCTATCATATGCCGCTTCTTTCACGATAAGAAAAAGAAGAGCTTGAGGGCAGACGAAAACCCGCATGCAAGAAAATAGCAGGGAATACAACCAAACATTCTTTTTTCTTTATCTTTGCGTGTTTTGTTTCCTGAGCCGTTACCTTTGCAGCATGGTTTTTGGACTTTTCTGATAAAATCCAGTCCGTTGTCCCGTTGATGATTTTGCAACTTTTTGGTAAAGATTCAGAAGCAGACTTTGTTTGCTGTGTTCTCTGGATATGTTCGTGATCAAGCGATCTCGCATGTATGCCCCGTGCTTACTTGTTGAGTTTGGACGGTGTGTGTGCAAGTGCAAGCGCGTGTGGGTGAGTCTCAGTTTGGTGGGCTCGGATTATATCATTGACGATTGGCCCGTGGAAGTTGTTGGAAGGCGCCTCCAACTATACGAGTGCCACTGATGTTATGCAGGTTTTGCATTGTATGAATGAAACAATCAGCATTCAATCTGCTTGGCAGTTGCTCTTCGATGGGGGACTTGTCGGGAGTAGCATTGACATGAGAGCCATAGTGTCGGGCGTGCATCTTGGAACATTTCCAGTAAGCCAAAAGGCAAAGAAGAAACGAAGTAGCAAGTGTCAGAATCACATAATGGACAGTTTGGCAC